AGGAGGGAAAAAAAAAGTCCTTAAAAACCAGACAGGATGGGAGAGGAAAGTGTGTGTGTGTGTGCGCGCGCGCGTGTGTTTGTGAGAGAGAGAGAGAAAATTGGGGCGTTGGTGAAAGCAATAAAACTCAGATCGCTTCCTTGGAGAGATAGCGGCGGCTATAATGCGCCGGGGAATCAGGGGTTTATTTGCAGATCCTGGATAAAAGATGATATATCGATACAGTTTAGAGTGTCATTGCGCCCGGCCGCTCAGGAAGCCACAAGTACATATTTCCTGAAAAACCGGCCAACACAGTATCTAATCCACACGCCACTTAAGCCCGGGAGGGGAACCTCAGCGTCTCACAAGTTCGCGCCTGGTTTCCTAGTTCTGAGCGGGGAGACCTCACCCGGGCTGGATCTGGTGCGCCCGGACGCACCCCCCCCCGCCCCAGCAGCCTTTGTCTTCAGTCCAAGTAATCACTTAGGCTTGGGCCTTAATAAATACGTCTGAGAACTGTCCTTATGCTCGGTAAATATTGGATTAGCTTTTCAATGACCAGGCTCTTGAAAAGGCTGGAGAAATCCACACCAGGTCTCAAGTAAGCCCAACAGTCAATAGGTAAGGAAAAGACGCTACTTCCCTGGCTGGGGTGGGGGCAGGGGGAAGGGGCGCCTACTCTTCTTGAGTTCTGATTCTAGGAAACACGACGGCAGTGCTGGGAAAGGAGGGAGGCACCCAAATTGTGGGGGAGCTGGAATTTCCTCCATCCCCGTGTGCTCATTAAGGGCTGAGCGGCTTAGCCCTCGGTGAAGTCTGTTTTTATTTCTACAGCACTCAGCCTCAGCACGAACTCTGTTCCGCACATACATTTGTTGTTGCTGTTGTTTGGGGGCTGCTTATGGGAGTCTGTGAGCCTGCTTTTGGACGAGGTCATGACCTAAGCGATCTCTGACTGCCCGGCTAACTCAGACTGCTTAGGTGAGGCAAATCCTAGCAAATGCCTTGGAAGCTCTGCCCTGCCTCCCTGTTTGGCCGGCAAAACGATGCAGGAGACACTGAGAACTAGAGAAGGTCTTTCTCTCCTCCAGAATGGGGTGGGGGTGGGGGTGGGATGGTTAAAGAAGTTTCTGAACCGGTTTCCCATCGTCCCACTGAGATGCCAGTGGGATCTCGCACATCATTAAAATGACAGGGGGGTCGTGACCGAGGGGTCCGGCTGGGTGAAAGCGGCCTCAGAACCAGCCACAGCCAAAATCTAGCCGGGCCCAGGACTGAGGGCCCCTTGGCATTCCTGAGCCTTTCCTGCAGCTCTTGGAAGGGTGGCTCCGCGCGCCAGCGTGTCCGGATGCGCCCGGTGAGGGAACCAGAGGCCCGGATTTTCATCTACCCTGGGGCTGCGAAGCCTGTGGCGTCTCAGCTTCCCGCAGGCCCTGGGCCCCTCAGGGGTCCTCCTGAGCCTGGCACTGTCTGATGGCTTCTACTCCAGGCTTCCCCCAGACAGGAGAAGGCTGGCGGCTGGCTGTGCGCTCAGAAGCCCGCAAAGTGCCCGCAAAGTGCCTGCGAGGAGCCCCAGCCCTGAACGCCAATGGTTCGCAGACCCAAGCCCGAGCCTCAAGCTGGTATTTGGTAAAGAGACAGAAGCAGAGACACAGAGAGAGAGACCCCGCTCTCAGTGTCACGGGGCCTAGGCGGGGCAGGCGCCCTCTGAAGCCATCAAAGACAGGGGTGGCTGTTTCCCCCTCCTCCAGCCTCCTCCCCGATAGATATAGCACG